CCTCCCCTCCCCTCTTCCCCTCCTTCCCCTCCCCTCCCCTCTTCCCCTCCTTCCCCCTTCTCTTCTCTGGGGAGAGACAGGAAAAGGAGGAGTGAAGTGGAGTGACAAGATGTCACACATTGCTAGGAAGGGTGGTGTAAATGTATTATGTGTTGTTTCATAATTGTAATAATCAATGCAGAGTAATGTGTGACTTCAAATACTGATTTCTAAGAGGTTTTCTGTTCTAACAGGTTAACTTGGGAAGTGGGATTCGATCTTTAGTACAGCCAAATGCCACGGACAGGTGGGTCTTCCTGGAAGACACATCTGTATTGTGCAGTGTTTTGCTGTCCAAGCACACAGGCTGCTTCATTGCAGCAGCTCTGACTCTGTGGCCATCAGCAGATGCACTAGGAACAGAGAGATGTCCTTTTCAAGACAGAGGCATTCTGAAATACATTGGGAAAACCAGTCACACACTAGGAGGCCTTATAAAGCGGCTTGTAACCCGATCTTGAGCAACAAATGAAGCCAGTAGATTGCAACTGTCTAATTGAATAGGAGTTTTTCTTTGGTTTCTTTTGATCATTTCCTGCTTTTACAGTAGCATCTAGAAGTCTGAGTTGATTCTTTTTGCACCAGGTGTTGTATTCCTGCAGCAGAAGAAATTCTTCCTGCATTAATGTGTTCTACATTGAATTACACTGCAGTGTGTGTCTGATTTCTCAGCCATGATCTCCTCTTGTCCTCTCCTGTTTCCCTTAGGCTGACTGGCTATGGCATACACCACTGCTTTGCAAAAAGCATGATGGGGCACGAAGCGAAGATGGCAATTACTCACAACTTCTATGCGGACTACTACACCATGGCTGGGATTGCACTGGCATCCTGCCTGGCCATGTGCCCAGTGGTTGGGTTTCTGGGGAGGAGAGGGGGACTCCTGCTTTTCATGATCCTTACAGCTCTGGCATCTCTTCTGCAACTGGGCCTTCTCAACTGTAAGTTGGAGATGAGAGCTTTTCACAACCACATGAGTTTGACATGCAAATAAGGGAGCAGGATATAGTAGCATTTCCTTTGCCTTCCTCAGATTTGACATGCTGTACACCTGCTTAGTTTAAGAAGCTGAGTTTGTCTGAAGGATTCCCCAAACACTTGTCGTCTTACATTCATTAACAAAAGGCATTGTGTTCTGGATGAGTCCCTGTGGTGAAGCTCGTTGAGCCTTGAGGCTGCTTCTAGGGCTGTCACTTTAAAACAAATAAACACTTTTAATTTTATTTCTGGGAAAGAGCTGGGTAGGGATTGAGAATGGAAACCTTTCCCACCTAAGTCTGCTTCTTGAATGGCCTCTAAACAAGCAGAAGTTAAAGGAATGAGTGTATGTCCTCTGCCTGCTCTGAGCATCTTGTTATATCTAAGTAACATATAGGTAGCATGGAAATAGGCAGCTGAAAGATCCTGCTTTTAACATGGTGTGGATGTATACTCCATGTGAACTTATACACGTGATTTCCTGAGGTGATACAGCTTTCCAAATGGGTTGTTCCTGCCAAAAGCAAGAGTGTCCCACCTCCTCCTCTGCAGGCAGTGATGTTTCTCTGGTCCTCAGCTGCTTCACCTGTTAAAACTAGTACAGAAACATTCCCTTTCCTTTTTTGATTCTATTTCTTTGTCTTAGTTTTCTGTTGGTTGCAGAAGTTGAATGTGATGGATCAGAGAGGTGCTAAAACAGAGGAAATATGGGATGTGCTTTACCTCTCTCACAGTTGCCAACCATTAGACCCCTGTCCCATGAAACATCACCACATGGAAGGAGAAAGAGGGTTTCGACGTGCTTTGGGCAAACTGGATATGAGCTAAACACCAGAACAGTGGTTGTTGCTGTTTTTAATTTTTAAATTTAGAAATAATTAAGGGCTTTAATGAGAGAGAATTTTTTTGCATTGAGGATGGAAAGATTTCACATTCCTACATGCTGAAGACAGCCCCAAGCCAGCAAGAATTGTCCATATTTACAGACCGTGTTTCCTGAAAGTGTTTACTAAGTTAACCTTCAGCAAACGCACTATTTCTGGGAGTGTAGGAGGGAAACAGGGAACCTCTTTCATGACATGGAGGAAACTCCAAAATCGCATGTTTTTGCTCCCAGCTTGGCACAGATGTTTACATTCCCTTTGAGCACATGTTTACCATGTCCAGCAGTCCCAGCTGAGAGTGGGAGAATCCCCCTGGCCCCATGTCATCCCCAGCCCATAGACAAATGTGACCATTCACATGTAGATGCACATTGTGTGTGTGCAATCTCCCAAAACTCCAGATTCTTGTGGTAGTGCCCATCAGGGTCTCTTTGCACTAGATTTGTCTTAATTTTCTTTTTTAAGGATGTCAGATGTTTGTTGAGGTAATAAACATGCAATTGCTTAGTGGAGAGAAAGTGTGTCAGCAGCCTTGAACTTTTGAACAGTTGTCTCCCCAGCTCTAGACCATGCCCCCCTTCTTCCTCAGAAGAGCTAGACAGTGTTTGGAAAGAAGCTGTGACCCTGCTGATTATGAAATCTGTTACAGCCTCCTGTGTGTCTTAGCTTAGCATAATTTGGGTGTAATTAGCAAATGAAATCAGAATTTGAGAAGAAGGATGAGAGAGGGAGAGGGCTATTCTCCATCAGCAGCAAATCCACAGCAGACTTTGAGGCTCACTGTGTCCAGCCCTTCCTCTGGACCTCAGGCTCTCACCTGGGACATCACAGGAGCCTGGTGGGACATCATCAGCAGAGCTGTGCCCAGCTTATGCCACTCCCCATCTCCTTGCTACCCAGTACTGCCATAGTTTCCATTCCAGTTAGGACACACAGCAGCTGGTGGCTAGAGTGACACACGGACCACCAGCTCAAGGTTTTGGCAAGGAAGAGGTCTGCCACCAGTGCTCTCTAACTAAAGCTCTGTTCGCCAGTTCCCTCAGGGCTGCAACAGGAGGGCAGTTTCTCTTCTCCTCCTTCCTAAACAACAGAGGCCTTTGTGTTAATCTCAGTGGTAATTCTGGGGCTCTTAAAATGCTTTTATGCTGCATTTATAATCACAGTCTCATTAGCATACTGTCCTCCAGCTGAAAGGGACCTGGAAATGACATGTCCTGTCTGGTGGCTGTGAGAAGATGTGCCAGTTATGGCATGGGAAAGGAGAAGTGTATGGGAGGCTGAAGGGTATGTGGGATCTACCTTTGGTTTGGTTTTTTTATTTGGTATGTTTTTATAAATTGCATACACAACAAAAATATGTTCTTGTTTTCTCTCCCTTTCTCTCTTATTTTTATCTCTCTTATTTTTACCTTATGCTAAATTCTGTGGTCTTGGATCCAGTGATCGGAAAATACAGTCAACTTCCAGACTCAGGTATGTTTTACAGATGGGTCTGCACCGTGCTGGAAGGACTCCCCCAGGGGGTGGGTGGATCTGAAAGGACCGGGCCGAAGCACCCAGAGCAGAGCTGCCAGTGCAGAGGGGTGCAGGTGAAAAGTCCACTTCTACGCAATGCCTTGGGACCCCACTCATAGGCAAACCTGTTCGTTATATGGGCTCTCAGTGTAGCATCCTTTCCATATAGACTGTGTTGCCTCTGCGTGTCAAGAGAGGGTGCAGAGGACCCTCAAGGTTTATTTTTAGATACCAGAAAATATTTTCTCAGAAAGTCTCCTCAGAAGCTACATTTCCAGAAAAATCAAAGATGCCAAAGTCCCTTCTGATAAGGGGGCTTAGTCACCTTAGAAAGTACTTCACTAGGCACCTTATCCCAGCCTGAATCCTAGCCATAGCGATACAGTGACATGCTGCAGGGAAACAAAACCCATCCTTCTATATTTTGATTTAATGGGCCTGTCCTTGCCAGCTTTTCCAAGGTCTGTTCTGCTGAGCAGTCATGACTCTGTGAGGGGTTGATGATGCAGCTTCACCTGCTATGCTAAAGGTGTCAGAAGCCCCAAAGACCCTTAGTTTTTTCAAGGTGCCGCACTCATGTCCCTGTCTACTGGTAGTATTTGCCCTCTCCCACAGACATGGGGAGCATTGCAGAAATGGCTTAGCCCTGAGCAGACTGTAGCATGTTTCGGAAGTTGTAACCTAAGAATTGACAAATACCTTTTGCTCTCCTGAGAGCTGATATGTTCGACAAGAACAAAAGCAGGTGTTACTTTTCATTGGATCCAACCCAGAGAGAGCACCTGCTTGGGACTGCATGCTGATGAGCAGCCCTTGCTCCAGGCAGATCTGGGGACTTGGCTGTAGGAAGGTGAGGGATGTTGGCTGCAGAGCTCCAGTCCTTTCCCCAGTGCTCCCATCAGGCACAAAGTGTTCCCCTTATATGGCACAATATCTCTGAGAACAATGTGACCTCTTCGCTGGCCAGGACAGACCACGTGAGCTTGAACAACCCTAGATAGGTACCTCAACCCTCCCCACAAAAGGTGACAAGCAGGGATCAAGCAAGGGATATAGGCCAGGAGACAGTTTCCTTTGGCTTTGTTTAGACTTACTGGGGTTTCTTCCTGTGCTTGATAGACACTGTTTACTCTCAGGAACTTTGCTGCCATCCAGCCGTGAAATGATTGAGCAAACAGCCTTGCTAGACACGGTGACGGAGGGGAGTGCTTCATTGTCCTTGGCATCAGCTTTTCTTGCCCAGACTTGTCAGAAGAAGGCTTGTCGAGCTGGGGGTTACAACAGAGTTTGCAGACTGACCACGTGCAGGGGCTTAGCATGGAGATGGGAGCACTTTTATGTGTTTCACCCCTTGTCCTTGCAAAACTCTCCGGTGCCTAAACCAGCAAGCAGATGTTTGGCAATTCGATGAACCCTGCCTGCCTCCACTTGTCTGTCAAATGTGGGAGGGAAGTGGCTGGTGCCTAAAAGACTACCCAAAGATGTGTTTTTTCTTGGGTTTTACCTTTTTGTGGTGACTGGGCATAAATAATTCTGAGATCGTTGCCATTTTTGGCATGACATGACTTTTTTCATGTATGTTTGTGTCTCGCATGCTTGGGGAATGAATTTTATAAATACCAGTTTTAAATTAGTATTATAAAAGTGAGTAAAATTCTTGTCTAGTAATTCTTGTCTAATATACACCTGTTTTCTTGTTTTCTTCCTTGGAAGTTTGGCCTCATTCTCACTTTTCATGAACACACTTGTCTTGGCAGGTATGAGTGACAGCGTCAAAGACAAGTTCTCTACCGCATTTTCCATCGTGGGTATGTTTTCTTCGCATGCTGTTGGAAGCCTCAGTGTATTCTTCTGTGCTGAAATCACACCCACAGTAATCAGGTGAGACATTGGGGCTCACCTCTTCAAAGAATGGGACCAAAATTATCCTCATGTGATTGATAACTGGCTGTGTAACTTTAAACACATTTTATGAGAGGGGAAATCCCCAGTAATAGAGATCTTGAAATGATTTTTGGGCCACTTTTTAATTTAATGTCACTGCAGTCAGTCTGGCTAAGTAAATGCCTGCCTGTAGACAGAGAGGCTTTGTTTCCGATGGCTCCACCTTGTGTCCCATCGTGGTGATCATCATCAGGGTCAGGCATAAGAATCGCTCTTGTTTGCAGTGATGTATATGATCTTAACTACTTAACTGCACTTAGATGGTGTAGTTGAACCATGTTATTGCTTCACTTACGCTACTTGATTTGTACAAGCAGTGATCATGTGAGGCTATGGCTTGATAGGAAAAGAGGACTTCCATGAGTGTGCAGCGGAGGGACATGAGTGCAGGCAATCCCTCCCTCTGTAGATTAATCAGGCCAGCTGTAGGGGGGCTTTGGTGGAAAAGAGGGGTTGCAACATGTAGTGTTAAATGCTTTTTGTGTGTTTAGGTGCTCACAATCTACAATCCTGCACCTCCTTACAGCACCAGTGTGAGGGGTCTGCCTTTCTTGCAGATAAAGTTGTCTTCCTCTTTGCACCCAGATCTATCTTAGCAAAGGCTCAAAGTTTTTTCTAAAGCGCTTTCACCCTGGGCAATAGTAAAAATCAAGCAGCTGATCTTCACTGGAGAGCTTACAAATACCTTAGTATAGTCAGGTTTTTGTACCATTTCATATGTTCATTGTTACCTTTCACAGCATAAAGGTTGTGCTTGTGTGGGTTATGCTTTCGGCAATGCCACCGCAATTCAGGAGTCCGCCCTGACCCCACTGGATTTCCCAGGAATGTAGGTCATATGGGTGGGAGGGAGAGAGGGTGGAGAGAAGAGGCTATGCTTTTATTTCTTTTCTTTTTTTAATTCCTCCAAATTTTATGCCTTTTCAATAACTTTGCAAAAGTATTAGAGCAAAACTGTCAGTTGAGTAGCCAAAGTTCCCTTGACTTGGGCTTTTCTTCCAAGCTAGCTGACTTCGTGACTGTATTTTACAGATAACATTATTTTCACAGGGAAAGGCAGTGTGAGTGATGAGATTATACAGCAGCCCCAAACACTAACAGCTATTTACTTACGCAAGTGTCAGTCAGTCTGGTGTTTTTATGCCTCTTTAATTTTCTCCCTGTCTCTGTTTGAAAGACACACAGATAAGGAATTGGCCACGTCAACCAGAAGAGACTCTGCCAAGTAGGGTCAGATGTGCAGTGTGAACTTAGCAAGCTTTTTTCCTTAAATCTTTTATGTTGCTACAAGGAAGGGGACAAAATCCTGGCTGGGAGCCAAAGTTCTGCTTTTCTGACTGTGCTAGGTGACACTGGGCCAGTGACAATAGTGGATATGCCTCAGGGTCCCCGTTCATCAGCAGGGATGATGACACTCTGCAGTGCTTTGCAGTCCTACCACTGTGAAGCTCTTTCTAAGATCCACTCAGGGCTGTAATTAGTAGGTGCTGCTCAGGACAGTACATAAACCTGTCTCAGGCAGTAGTGTGGTTAAGCTGCCTTGTGGCTTATGTTTCAGTGGGGTCTAGCTGTTCCCTCATAACCTGTTCTCCAAAATAACTGCCTTGGATGTTCTTTAGTGTTTCAGGCCATATGAATATGCTTTTGGATTAATCTTGAGGACATTTAAGGAAAAGGGAAGCAGAGAGAGAGCTAGGGCCATCTCTGGGGTTTCGCTGATCAAATCCTTTACCTGTGATTCCCCATTCCTGAAGGGGAAGAACAACACTGCCATTATCAGGGTAGCAGTGACACAATGGTCAACCCATAGCTTCCTTCTGGCTCTACTGTTGTGTTGTTGAGATGAATGGTTACAACAGCACAGGAGGAAAACAGCCACCTTCATAGCCAAGAGGTGCCACCAGCCCCAGAGACGCAAAGGTCCTTCACTCTCATGCAGCACAGAGGAGTTCTCTGTACCCTTGCACTGTACCCTGGTCTCCTGGCACTAGGTAGGAGGGTTTTACCAGAGAGCTCCTGTTCCTTGCACCAGGGGCTTCAGTTCAGAGCTCCTTCCAAACACTGAATTTAAGCACTAAGTGGCACCGATAATCCATCTCTTAATAATCTTGATGGGAACACCACTGCAAGTTGCATAGCTACTAAATAGGAATAGGTTGAGGAAAGCATGCTGTGTCCTCTCCCCGTCCTCTGCATGCTTGGTTAATAACAAGTGAAAAAGCCATCTGATTTCCGTGTCTTGCTTCTGCTCCCACCCAGCCAAAGACATAAAGAGTGGGCAGTGATGGCTGAATTAGGAGCTTTATCCATCAATAGCTGTCTCAAGCCAAATTTCCAGCAGGGTGCAGTGTTGTTTACTGGGACCCAAACTAGGCCCGTCTTTTCGTAGTTTATGCCTTGCTCCATGAGGCCATGGGTGTTCTGGTGCGTTACTGAAGCTCTGGCCCACGACTGAGCACACAACAGGGTTGCTTGTGTACAGGAAAGCCAAGGAAAGCCAATGAGGTTTACAGGGACTGACTTCAAGAAGTGGCAGAGCTAACTGAACTAAGCCCTGAAAAAACTGGTCTGAATTCAGTGTTGGCCCCATTTTGTGCAGGAGGCCAGAGTAGGTGCTCTCCCAAAGTCTCCTCCAACCCGAATAGTTCTCTGGCTCTTCTGTAGTCCAAGCCATGCTGCGTGTTGACCCATTTGCTCAAGACAAATGGCCACCTGAAGATAGGATTAGCATTTCTCTGCTCTCCTGAGCAATGCTGAGAAGGGCAAGCCCCCCTTCTTGTACTTACCCTGGTTTGAGTAAAGGGTATCAGCAAGGATATTTTGCTGTTGTCTGAAAAGACACTGTGGTAGCGAGCAAGGAAGTTCTCTCCCTGTGATCAGGGAGGCCCTTTCTGAAGACAAAACTTTGGACCAAGGTCCCTTTGTGATTTGCCCTGTAAGTTTGATGTAAACCATCCTGCCTCGCTGCCTCTGGGTGAGCAGGGGTCCGGGAAGTGGCTTTGATCACCCATGGGGCCATGCTGTGGGAAAGCCCTCTGCCAGCAGCCTCTGCTGGGTGGAAGTGCAAGGAGAGAAGCTGGGGGTCACCGTCGGTACCAGCAGCCCTCCCTCTCCCTCCCTCAGCTCTGCTCTGCACCTTGGAGCATATTTGAAATACTGACACCAGTCCCCTGCCATGGGAGACCTCATACTGAGGAGCAGTGTCCCAAAACACTCAGGATAGTTTCCATTTCCACCTGCTGCCCCACAGCACCCATGAAAACAGTGTGAATTACGAGGGTGCTGCCTTGCTTGCCCTCTACCTGTTTTCCTGATGTGCACGTGAACAACAAAAAACTCCTGACAGTTTTTTCATTTTCTTTTTTACTTTTTTTCCATTTTCATATTTGCAGTATAGTCAAATGTTAAAAAAAAAATCTTCCAGGACGTGTACCAAAATGTATTTTCAAGCTGCCTTCTGCCCGGTTTTGATGGTGCTGGATAAAGTAACGCCTGCTCTAATTACTGACGTCACATGGAAAAACTTTTTTTTTCCCCCTTCCAAATCTGAGGCTGCTTGACCCTTACTGACAGAGCCGTCTTTGTTGTTGCTTTTTCCTGTTTCCTTTGAGATTGCTTGGTGTCCTTCTACAGCAGCTTTTAAAACTCACCTCAGGTCCTTCTCAGGGGTAGAGATACAATTTAGCTGTAGCAAGCACTGATGTAAATGAGCCAAGCTTTTGTCGCTCTGGAGCCAACTTGGAGAGCGATTTGCCATACATGCAGGGCTGGTTATGTTGATTACTCATGTGAGTGTATTAATGAAGTTGCAGGAAGGCCAGATGCACAATGGCCACATTCAGCTGGGTTTCTAAATTGTTATTGGAAAACTGGCAAGTTTTTAATAAGGGCTTTTGCAGTATTTGGGGAAATCACTGTTGTCTGTGGAAGATGCTGTGCCGAGTCTGGAGAATTATAAGGTACATACATGAATTTTTGATCCAGTCTGTGTCCCAAGAGCATCTTTTAAAACCTGTGCTTGCTACCCCTTAGCTGTCAAGTAGGAAGCAGTGGATTTTGGGAAGAATTTGGTGAAGATCAGCTTTAACAGGGTGGTTACCTGAGAGAATTTGGCATTTGTAGGTTTATAGTGCTGTGGTTTCTTATATACTTGACAGCTGATGAAATGTTTTTTCCCAAGAAGTTGATGTAAAGCAGTCCATTTGCCTTCTGCAGTTGTCTTCTGTAAGGTCCAGTTATTTACATCTTTGCCACTGGGGCAGGAACTGAAGCTCTTGAGCCCATCTGACCACCAGAGCGTTTGGGAGTAGATTGCATCTCCCTGGGGAGCCACAAGAAGTGTGCTTCCTGGGCAAGCTCAGTGCGGGAGTGAGAAACAGGGTGCCAGCTCATGGGAAGACCTCCCTCTGCAGGCAGCAGGGCCTTTGGAAAATCAAGGACAGGCTGCTGCTCTTAGAGATGTTGCTAAAATGAGTCACTTGAGGGTGATTCTCCTCTGGCTGGAGATCTCGATCACACTGTGGAAGGAGAAGGGAATGGTCTACCCTGGGGAAACACCTGTGGTGTTGCTTCTTTGTGGGGTCACCCAGTGGGGACAGGCCCCAGGTGTCCAAGCTGGGCCTCAAAACAAGCATGTGGCCAGAGGTGTGCCAGGCTCCAGAACTTGGAGAGATATTCATGAGCAAGAGGAGGAATTGCAAGAGAGGTTCCTTGCATATCTGAGCATCAGGAAACAGCCCTGAATTTGGCTTGCACAAGCGACTTCCGTGCTTGTGACTTGGGGGGATATGAGGTTATTTTTCCACTTGTTTTTTTTTTTTAAGCCTTAATGTGTTTTCACTTCTTTTTGCTGAGTGTGCACGTATGATCTCAATATACAAGCACATTGCATTTAATAAATAAGCATTTGTCCCATAAAGAATATTTTATAAAGTTACCTTTTTACAACTCAAGCATTTTACCTTTTTTGCAACCTCTTCCTGTGATATAAGAATACGCAAGAGAGAGTGAAGTGAGGGATATATCACAACTTGTACAGTGAGTTCAGAGGAGATCTCAAAATTAACACCAAACTCTTGTTCTCCTATTCTGACCACTAGCTATTTTATATATTTATTTATTTTTCTGAAAATGATGTATGTTATTACAACATCAGTGTTGAGAGGTTCCAACCACAATACATTTTTATGGAGGTAATATTTCAGTACTCAGTGTTTGGCATAATAGATCAAGGCAATGGCCTGTAAAGCCAAATCTACTGCTGATTGATGCGGGATACTTCAGAAGCAGCCAAAATACTGCTTCTTGGTGTGTCTTGCGTGAGCTGGAAAAAGCTCACATGCTAAGCAAAATCTGCTTTTCCCTCACTGAATATGGGAATGCTTGGAAATGGGAATGCTCTAGAAGGCTATCTACTCACAATATAAAGCTCCTTTTCTCCTTATGCAGGAGCAGTTCTATGGGTGCAAAAAGATCCCTGAGTATAATTGTTTCCCCACACTGAGACAAATAGGCAGCAATGACCTACCACAGCAAAGCAACTCCCTACTGGAGTAACTGTGTAGTGTGAAAGCTGTGAGCAAACCAGGTTTGCCATAGAGATTTCAGGTGCCCAGGTGCATGCCAGACAAGGGGAGTAGTCTGGGGGACCCGTCAGGATGGTGGGCTCCCCAGCTCAGTGCCAAGTGGATGGAGTGGGCTGTGGGGCAGCCTCTCACCTCTGCTGTGTTTGCAGGGGAGGCGGGCTGGGGCTGGTCCTGGCCAGCGCAGGCTTTGGCCGCCTGACTGCCCCCATCATGGAGCTCCACAACCAGAAAGGCTACTTCCTCCACCATGTCATCTTTGCCTGCTGTACGCTCATCTGCATCATCTGCATCCTGCTGCTGCCAGAGAGCAAGAACCAAAACCTGCCCGAGAACATCCCGGACGGGGAACATTACACCCGGCAGCCCCTTCTGCCACACAAGAAGGGGGAGCAGCCCCTGCTCCTGACAAACTCTGAACTCAAGGATTACTCTGGCCTCCACGACTCAGCAGCTGTGAGTGATGGGATCTCTGAGAACACCACTGCCAATGGGATGAAGTCAATGTAACTGGGTGGATTTTTTTCCTTCTTTTTTTTTGTTGGGTTTTTTTTTCCCTTCTTCACTTTCTTTTGTATTTTATTTGATGCTGTTGTGCAGGAGGAGCAGCACTTTGGGCAAAGGTGTTTTGCACAGGTTTTACAAACCAGTGATGGAGCAGACACAGACTTGGGGGAATTCAACTCTGCTGCTAAAGCAACTTTTGGCATCTTCAGCTGTTGTGCAGATTGCTCTTGAAAATGTTATGGGGGAAAAGACTCATCTGAGAAAATACCTGGCTGGAGGTAGCCCTTCAGAACTCATTTTTTCCTGCCATTAAATATGTATATTTATTTTGATTTATTCTCAAGAAGCACTTTATTTCCTTTTCCTTTCATAGATCACAAAAATGAAGCCATCTTATTATAAGAGGTGCAGCCATTCCAAGAAAGAAACCATGGTGGGGGGGGTTGTTTTCTGTTTTGTTTTCGTGTTTCTTTAAAGGAAAGAGGGATCCACTGCAAAGTTGAATTGACTGAAATTTAGACTTGTGCAACATTCTTCTGCCTGTCTAGAAAGTTCAAGCGCCCAGGTTGCCTGCTGTGTTTGTATACACCAAAAAAAAAAGAAGAAACAAAACCCCAAGGAAAACCTGTTGTGAATACAAACTCTGACTGCATTTTAGGCAGCTCATGTTTGTTTTTACACCCCATGTGCACTTAAAAGTTACTTTCTAAATTAGTACTTTTTTTTTCACCAAATGTGGTGAATAACATCCTACCTAAACAAGCTGATTTTTCAATGAGAATCAGCCTTCTGCATTTTGAGAGTCCATTAATCTATTTTAGACAGTTCCCACTGGTGTTTAGTAGTAATGTAGATGATGTAAATGATTTGACCAATGATGCAAAAATTAGTTTTGCCAAGAATGGCTTTAATTACCAGGAGGCCCAGAATCTGAGTGACTGCTTCAGGAGAAAACCATAGACCAGCAGGAACAAAAAGTGAAGGAGGATGGGCTACGATCTGTACTTTTATTCCAAAAGGCAGCGCAGCTGGGATTCCTGCTCCTGGGAAATAAGTGTCGTGGCATTGCCTTACCTGTTTTTAGAACCAGGGCTTGAGTTTTCAATTTAAGTGGACAAGCGACTATCAGAGATGAATTAATTGATAGCCTGTGAATAATGATTTATGGTCTGCTGTTGGCCGTCTTGGGGCTTTTAGAGATGTTTTCTGGTTCTGACCCAAGAATATACAGTTAACTTACCCAGATTTCCCCCCTTCTCCAACTGCTCTTGTAGGATTTTCATTCAGGAAAAAAAAATTTACCTAAATTGGATTGATCCTACTCTAGGCTAAGCAAAGTTAACCTCTAGTTTGTCTCCTACTGTGCGGATGACACTTTGATAGTGGCCACTTGACTTCTCCAGCCCCAAAACCAACTATTTCCTTTGGCCATCGGCTTTTAATTCTCACGATGTGACATCGTGAGGCTCTAGTTCAATGCAAGGACTTTGTAAACTAGCAGCTTTCTTGCATTGTAGTTAACCTCCTTGCTCTCCTTCCCTCTCCTCCTCTCTCACTCAGGCCATCCATTTGTGATTGCTCAGTAGTGCAGACGTTCAAACAAACAGAGCAGCAGGATGTTGATGTTGTATTGAGTGTCCATATGATTGCCACTTTGTTTGATGTACTTCTTGCGTTCCTACGCATGGAAAGCGCTCGTTTGCACTTTCCTCCCCTACCTTCCCTTCCTCCTTTGCTGTATATATTGTCGATTAACTACTGTACCTAACAATTTCCATCCTCCATTAGGCTGCCAATGTCCTCTTACGGACCCCAATAAATCAGAGATACGTGCTTCCCAGCAGGCGATGCAGCAAGGAGCGCAGCCTCAGATGCTGACACGTGCAAGGGGACAGGTAGACCTGCAGAAGCGACAGAGATTGTTGTGTTCAGAGTAACAATGTTGTCCTAAAGCTGCTAATTTTTGTACAGAGGATGTGGACATTCGGGTTCTTCTTGAGCCTGGTAAGAAACACTGGACCAGTTGATGGTACTTTTGCCCAAAGTTACACTACTGTTTGTTTTTTTCACCTTTGCTAGACTTGCTGTGACAGCGAGAGCCCAATCTTCCTTACACTCAAGTTTTATTGTTGAGCTTGAGCACGGCTGCTTCTCTTTTTGTTCTCTGCTGAGACTTCTGCAGTCTGTGTTCACTTAAGGAAAAAACTCAGGCCTTCCCCATTCATGCAGTATTCATGTGCCAAATTTGTGCAATAACTTTTGCCTTTGATATGAGATGCTTGTTGCAAGCCACACGCAGTGGGGAGGAAAAAAACAAAAAGTGGGTTCACAACAGAAAGCTGAAGACACAAATAGTCTTAAGGGAAGAGAAAAAGGGCTTGGCAGTGGAGCAGGGGCGAGCGCAGAGGTGGAGAGCGGTTGCGCAGTGTCCTGCGATCCATCGTGCTGTGGAGGCAGGGGCTTCTTCATTCATGGTCTCTGTGCGTGCGTGCTCGAGCTACAGTACAGCTCTTGTTGACCATCCAGAAGCCTATAAAACCAGCTGCTTCCAGCACTGCCAGCAGTCCTGGTGTGCTCACCGCTGTTGTCCAAAGCGCTTTATCGTTTCCTATTCTGGTGGTCACTCTCTGATGACAGACGGGCCCAGGGAAGAGAATGGTTGTTTAAACATATCAACATTTATATAATAAACTAGGTGACAGGAACATCAGGCAATTTTTTTTTTTTTTAGTTCCTATGATACTGACTTGATTTGCTGCTTTTTGGGTTTTTTGCCTGAATCCAGGCAGTTGGTACTTATCTTCTGCAACACGGGGAGTCCCAGCTTCTCAGGCTGGTCTGGCCCTCTGCCTCTGTCATGACAATAAACCACAAACTGATTTCCTGCCTTGGCAGCTCCAGTTTTGTTCCTTTTCCCTGAAAAGGTGAACAATTCTGTGATTTTTAATTTTTTTTTCTCCACACACAGAGTTGGAAAGCTTTTGCTAAGCGTACCTTGTGTGGAGGAGTCAGGTACCAGGTGATGCAGTGGGGCAGAACGGAAACACAGAGGTGCTTACTGCCCTCTGCCTCGTCCTGCCGTGGTACGAGGCGCTCAGTCCACTGCACCAGCAGCTCCTTGGCTGTGTGTCCTTCACAGCCAGCGCCAGGAAAGGCTTCTCTTAGGCAGCTCTTTCTGGTCACTGCAACAAGGGAAAGCGGTCAAAGCCGTCCTGTCCATTTTGGCCTTTTTCTGTGAACCTTCAGTAACCTCTAAGTCCATCAGTGGATTTTTCTTTGGGTTTACCATTTAAGGGCTTTCTTCCATCTATGTAAGTCTAAACAAAAATGTGAAAGTGACATTGTGCTTGATCTTGGGGTTTTTTCCCCCTTTTAAGGTTTCAGTACTGCTTTTGTTGCCAGAGACACTGCAAATGGATACCAACAGTCGCCTGTTTGCAAGTGTTTTGTAGCCACTCAGAAAAGAGGTTGTGTGATTTACTTTTTGGTTTCATTGAGTAGGCCTTTTTATTTTAATTTTTTTTCATGGAAGTATTTTGCTTAACTGTTGCCACTTCCTGGAGCCAAACACTAAAGGTCACCAAATTGGAAGCAGAAGTGCCATTAACTGAACTCTGTGAATGTCAAGTCAAGTTCCGCCTGTAGCTGGCACATAAGACAACACTATTAAGTGGGGGGATGATCTCCCCCACTGGAACTTTTTTTTTCTTTTTAAAGAAAAATAAAATGAGAAACCTCATTTTAAATGTATTGTGTAAAACCTTTTGGGAAAGGAGTATGGTGTGTTATGTCTAGTGGTTGAGACCTCCCTCCCCATTTCAGTTTCTGATGAAGTTTTAAAGAATCGTGTTACTGTACGTTTTGATCATGAATAGTCTGGTGGTGCTTCCTCATAGCACAAGCTTAAATCAAGTACTGAAAACAGTCTTACAAGCTAAATGTCTGCATGATGTTACATCTGTTGTACCTACTGAAAAGAACTTTGTATGTAAATGTACAGAATAAAATGACATTGTCCCATCAGTTTGCTCTCCTTGGTCTGGCTCCCTCACAGTGACTTCTGAAACAGCCCAGCAGCAGCTGATGTGACCCCTCAGCAAACATCCCTGCCTTCCACTACAAACAGAATGAGCTGATCTTAAATCAGACTAATTAAGTCAGCACATTGATTTGCAACTAATTACCTTTTACATTCAGTCACAGAAGAACAGTTGACTCAGTTTCCTGAGTGGTGTAAATTAAAAAGAAAATATCCTCCAACAGTTGTTTTTGGCTATTCTGATCTTGAACTGCAGTCAAGAACTGGTGGCTGTTCCCATCAGGTAAGGAAGAGCCCTCTGCCCCCATGTCAAAGCCATTGGGTGTTCAAACCCCTTCAGACAAGCGTGAGTGTAAGGAGGAAGGAGCCAGGCTCTTCTCTCTGATGTCCAATGACAGGACAAGGGGCAACGGGTGCAAGCTGAAGCATAGGAGGTTCCATGTGACCATGAGGAAAAACTTTTTTACTGTGAGGGTGACAGCACTGGACCAGGCTGCCCAGTGAGGTTGTGGAGTCTCCTTCTCTGGAGACATTCAAAACCAACCTGGACGCGTTCCTGTGTGACCTAGTTTAGGTGATCCTGCTCTGGCAGGGCGGTTGGACTGGATGATCTTTCGAGGTCCCTTCCAACTCCTGAGATTCAATGATTCTGTGACAAGAGACACATCAGAGGTTGCATCTTCTACACCAGCAACCTCTCGGTTACAGTTTTTAATTATAGATTGTGCCACCACAGCAAGGTAAGTTCATCAGTTTTCTGTAGGTTGTTAGGACAGTTGTCTAGCAGCAGTGCTAGTATTTTTTATCTCTATCTGAAGCTTATGACTTGAGTCTGAGTTCAACTTGCAATGCAAAAGAAATAACCTGGACTTGCTCATCAGGTTGTTACACTTGGTGTTTCTTCAAATTGCTGTGAATAACAGGTGTGCCATAGCACTGCGCAGATCAACAGCTGCAAACAGGCCATTGGCTCTGTGGTTGGTTTGGGGTTTTTTTGTCTAGTTAACTTTTAGCTGCCACTCTTGTTGAACAAAACAGCCCATGATCTTCCTTTGAAAGGACATCCGTTCTACCTAAAGCAAGTCCAGAGACATAGCAGCAGGATGCTTTGTGGTCGTGGTGGTAATGACTGCTCTGATTTTTCTAATGAGTGCACTCAGTTTACACACATTATGCTCTTCTAGCGTTCTGACAGATTTGTCTATTGCTCCAAAATTCAAGCTGTGCTTTTTCCTTCTACACAGCCCTCAGGGACATACAGAAAACCCTTGGTGAAACCTTTCCCGTGTTCTCAGTGCCCAAGGGATGGAAGGAAGTCCAGATTTATCGCTAGTACTACAACCAACAGGGGCTAAGAAGATAGAGCAAGGTAATGCTCATTTTGTGTTACAGCTTTGCAATACAAAAAAATGGAGGTTTTTTATTATTTGAACACTAAAAGCCGCAATACTATGTTCAATCCACCTACACAGTAGATTAATTGTGCAGGTAGAATCTGGAACTGATTTCCCAGCAGATCCCCATACTGCATGCAAGCCAGATACTGG